CCATTTTGCTCGCAATTTGTTTGCTTTCCACTTCTCATTTTCTGTTGTGATGACTGTGAATTTGGCACCTACATTAGTCGACAAACAGCTGAACAGTGGAAAGTCAGGAATGATGCCAGCAGTATTCATGTGTACTTTCCCTCACTGCTGTCCAAATGCATCTCAGTTCTGACCTCTCCCCTAAAATTGTCTTATTCTGACGGAACATCTTATGTCTGATTTTAGGGTTTTAAAATGTTGTCACCTGAAGTAAAAAGTCTTCAAAAGCTTATGCATGCAAAATATAGGTGTCTCAGTGATAGTATCCTTTCTTCTTACTTTTTATATTTTCTTTTGTATGTATTAAATTAAAAGGTAATTTATAACCAACTACTTAAATGCTATAAATCATTTGAGTGGTTTTCAAAGTGCACTTTCACTTGGATCTTGGATAATCATACCAACCTTACTACTACTTTTGACTAATACCACACACCAGGTTAAAATAAGAATACATACAAAAAAGGTACAATATAAATAGTGCTGTACAGGAATTCTAAGATAATTTGTATGAAAATCACATGAATTTCAAATAGCTAACTTTCCATCTAAATTAAATTACCAAACAAACCCACAATCCTATGAATTATTTGATGAATTGAGAACACTTAGAATGTCATGGCCTTTATATCTAATGGATAAAGCTTTGCCTTTTAAAAGTTTATTTAATTTTCTAGCACATTTTTCTACATTTTTAAATTTGTTTCTTCCTAAGATTTGAGACCGTATTCATTCAATCAATATGGTACTCATAAATCCTCTTATTTAGTAAACTTGCAGCTGAAGCTAGATGCAGTTTCATAAATATACTGTATCTTGATGACCATCAACATGTACTTATGGCACTGGAGGTAAATATCAAGCATAAACAGCAATTTTTAACATTGTAAATCAATTAAAATCAAAACACTCTTGTTATAGTATATGGCAACAAATGTATACAAATGTTTCATGCAGAGCCACTGCTCATCATCAATAATTTTCCAAGTGACAGGATTAGATTTAACGCTATTGATTTTGAGTGCTCTAAAACCAGACTTTAAAGGAGTAGAATAAGTGAAACAAGTCAGTAAATTATATACTCAGATAAATCACTCACATATAACTGAATTAACTGAGCAATTTAGATCCTGTGTATGCTAGAACATTTTATTTTAGTGTACCTTAATTTATCTAAGATTTAATATTTATTGACAGGTTGAGTAAGCGTGCCAAAACGTTATCTGTTAACACTTTGAAATAATGTTATGGTGAGGTAGTGAGAGTTGGCTTTGTGAGAAATCCACCTGTTCATTTGAAAAACCTGCAATAGGAGGCACAGCTAGTTTGAATGGGTAGTTAACACTTAGGGCGGAGTGAAGTTCCATGAGAGGGAACGGTGCTTTCAGGATAGGCTCTGCATGGAATTGGCCACTCCTCTGAGCTAGTTAAGAGGCTAATAAGAACAACAAGGAGGAACAGAATTTCAGTCTGTGTCTAGACTCCAGCCTGGAAAACTGATTAGTGGTTATGCAAGAGAAGAGACCCAGTTTTAACCTAGCAACTACAAGTGTTTGAAACAATATAGGTTAGGCTGAACTGGGGGGCATCTGATGTGCTGAAAGGCAGGGTGTGTGGTACTCTATTTGTTAGGCTCAATGGGGCTGAATTAAGTTACTATGCTGCTGAAGACCACCATCAGTCGTAGCCCCATGAACCAGGGCTGACAGGAACTGCTGTTACCTGGAGGAGTGGGGCATTGCTTGATGTGGTTTCAGTTTACCTTCTCCCCACCGGGGAGAGAGAGGAGTCTAGATTGACTTAACTTTAGAAGATCAACAGTCTCGGAACCGAACTTGAATTGAAATGATTACTTAAGTGACACCTGGGCAACACTGAGAGTGAAGAGTTGATAAGACATAGTGACTTGTGTGTGTAGAACCTTTTTAGTTGCTCTTCACTTGAAGACTGTGTAGTTTTCCTATGAAAGAGCAAGGATCCAGAAGTAGAATTTCTTAAAATGCAAAAAGGTTTAAGGTAACACACTGGGGACAAAATGAGGTAAAGACTGCAGAATGTGTCTTATTTTAAAAGAAATTCCCAAAATTGTTAAATTGTAAATAAAAACCAAACATACAACATTCTTATCTTTGGAAGGGCAATGGAATCCTTAGGAACCATTTTGGAGGCTTGCATAGGTTTCTTGTGTCCTGGGGTATTAAAGGAGGAAATGCACAGAAGACATTCAGTACCAGCACGTACTGTATCATCACAGTGTCAGGATTGACCCGCTGAGGAAACGGGAAGATGAACCCTATGCGGTACCTTAGGGGGCTAGATGAGAGGCGAAGTCCGAGTCAAGTTCCAAGGATCATAGAAAAGGGCAGGAGAGTAGGTTTCCAATCCAGAATAGGGCAAGGCTGAAGTTGTAGTCGAAAAGGCAGTTCCGTGAGTCAAAAGGTGAAGATCAACGAGTAGGCTTCCAAATCCGAAGGGTCAAGACAGTAGACGTAGTCGAATGGGAGTTCCATGGTTAGTAACAAAGAGCAAGAAGGAAAACATGATCTAAGGCAAGGTAGGTAAACAAACAACCAATTCCAGGTGAAGAGGAGAGGGTTGAGAAGGGTTTAAGTACTGAGCAAGGAAGAAGGTGCGTTGATTGATGAAGTGTCGTGGTTGGCTGATTTGCAGGGGTGGTGTCGTTTGGCAGAAGTGCTCAGGGCTGAAGTGTAATTTGTGCGGGCGCATTTCCATGTGAGAATGTGGTGAGTAGAGGGCATGACACATGGTTAAGTACAGAGAACTCCCCACAGACTGCAGGCAAATGGTCACTGACCTCCACAAGTTGAGAAATGGTGATTAAAGAATGCACATAATGCTAAATCTAGTGCTTTCCACTGTGGTGTCCATTATGGAACACAGGTTAGGATTCTGGACTCATTCCTAGTATGTTGTGGGTTCAAATTACAGGTGAAATAGTAATTTGTGCCCAAGAGCAAGGTACTTTACCTGAACTGTACTAATATAATAGACAGCTAAAAGGTGTGAATGTAGGTACCTTTATATAAAAAGTGTTAATTATATAGGTAAACTAACAAAGAGTAGAAAAGTAACTGTAAGAATCAATTTTACAAGTTTACCAAATGTAACTTGTCACACTAACACTGTATCCGCAATTAATTATAAAGTACGAAATTACAGGTGTGATTATCCTAAGGTCTGAAACATCTCTCCTTTTCATAAAACATATATTAAATCATAATATTAAAATATTTTAAACTAATATAAATACTACAATATGCTATACTTGTGCGTTATTACTCGTCTATGTAACTTTACTACTGTGCCAGCTTTACTTAGGAGATCAATAACTCTACTTATACAGTAGTTTAATAACACATTCAACTTAATAAAATACCAACTGACTCTGACTATTTCTCTTATTATGTGGATGATAAAATATTCATAATGACTATATTATGGACAATTTTTAATCAGCATAATGTCTATGTTCCTGTGTGAACACTGATTCTCTAGTTATTAAAATATGTTTTTGGCGCATGTTTTCATAAACCTCGTTTCCACTCATACTGTAAGTACTGCTAAGCTAATATTTTTATTTTTTAATTAATCTTTGAAAAACAGAATTGAAGCTCACAAAAAAGTAAAATGCGCAATTTTTTAATTTATTTTTTAATTTCTAAATATACCGCTAGAAAAGGCGCAGGTACAGTAAAATGTTTCACTGTTTCTCTAATACGAAAAACATAGATGGCATCGCAACTACACAAACATATAGGCATATTGACATTGCTCTTAAAAGCATTAATATTTTATAAATCTGCAGCTCCTGCATTAGAATTATAGAAGCGAGATGCTATTTATTAAATCGGATCTATTGTATTTCTCGGGACCGGTATTCCAAACACGTTCAAATAAGCACCAGGAACTGAAATAAACTGGATAAAGAATGCAAAATGGAAATCCAGAATCTTAATTGCATTTCAACTAATGTGTGGATGGATTTCTGACGTAAAGTTAAGTTGCTGTGGAGTTTTATATCCCATAGAAAAAAAAAAAACGCTGCTAATACCGATTTTGTTAAAAGTGGTTTGATTATAGTCGGGTATTACTGTAAATCTAAAATATACTGTATATGTCTATTATTAAATGTATGAGTAGCAAGATAAATTCACAGATGTTAACCACACGCGGCATCTATGAAACCAATAAATAGTAACTGCTTTCTAATCGTCCATTCGTATTGCATTCTACTTAGAAAATAAAGTGTCGTTGTTGAACCATTATATTATTTAGCCCTCCTTTACTTTATTTTTCATCTTTGTTATTAAGCGACCTGTAAAGAAGTGGTAGATAAAAGTACCGCGGATGAGTTTGTTCCTTTGCTACTGGGACACTGGTGATTTATCTTCCATTCAAGTATTTTATTAATGATAAGATCAGTCTCACTTAGAACAAAAGTGCAAACCTAATACATCTTTTGTCGTTGTTGAATTCCTTGCATCTGACTACATGCATTACCTTGAGTACTATTGTATGCAACAAAAAGAGCCCTTTGCTTTGGAAAAAGCCTTAGAAGCTTTGAACCGTATACCTGACAATTATTGTCCAAAGCATCAAGGAAACACACTTTAATTGTAGTTTTTTTTTTTAAATAATCTTCAGTTTCTTGAACACATCCTACAAAATGATGCGTTAGTTCATTAGATTATTCCCTATCACCTTCCAGTGGAGTCTCGTAAATTAAACGCTAACACATACAGTACACTACAGTACCAGAGCTTCAGCCGGGCTCTGTACACATTCAGTGCCAAGTGTACATTTCAACACGAAAATATAATCACGGTTGTGATGAAAACGGTATGAGAAATACACCAAAATACAGTAGCTTCCTGCAAAAGCTCTCCCTTTCCTTTGGAACGCCATGAAACATAAAAGAGAGGAAAAAAACATGGTCTTACCTATCGTTGTGATCACAGTGATAGCAAAATAAAAAGATCCTGCGAATTTCCACTGGACTCCCGCTTTGTGAGGTTTCAGTTGCAGTACAACCCTTTCAAGTTCATCGAAGTTCTCGGGAGTCAGGTTATATGCAACCATCAGTTCTTCCTTTTTACCGTCCAGTTTTGCCTTCTGCGTTTTCTCTTGCTCAGATTCCAGGGCATCGAAAACAGCCGCTCCAACGAGCAAATAGGTGAAGGTACAGATGATGAGAGCGAGGGTCCTTACGTTTTGCCTCTTCATGGTCTGGGTGAAGTGACGGGTTTTAAAAGTTTTAATGTTGATCTTGAAGACGGAGAGCTTGGCTGGTTCATGACTACGTTGTGCCGCGCGAAGAGCTGTGCGCTAAGCCGAGAGGTCTTTGATTGCTTTATTTACTGAAGCCCTCATTTACAGGGAGCTGTTCGTTCAGCACCACCCCCCACCTCTGAGACCCGTCACACCAGAGTGTGTGCGTGCCTTATTTGGTCATTTGCTCCAAGGCATAAATTCTAAGTAGTGCTCTCTGTATGGAGACACTGCAGCCTGGAAGTGTACTCACGGTACTGCATAAAAGCAGACGGGTTAAACACGTTTTTTTATGACAAAGCCATTTGCTATGAAATGTAATCAAAAAGAGTTACTTGGTGCTATATGAACTCGCGTTTTATTAAGAACACAGGAAAGGTTACAAACGAGACCATTAAATTACATGTACGGGACGCTCTACAACGTGTTAATCTGTCGTTGCTACTGGATTTTTTATTTAGCATTGTGCTTTGTGTTTTCATGTATACTGTACATTACACTGAAAACGCCTACCCTACAGTACCTTATGTAACCTTTATATAAAGTAATACTTAATGTTCATTTCCATTGTTCCTTAAAAATGACATGTTCTGTAATAAATTGTTGCATGCATTGAAGTGAATTTTTTTTTTTTCTAAACTAAAAAAGTGACTGGCATCAAATCTAATGATTGTGAATTCCACCTGACTAACAAGTGCAAAGATAATGTGATGGCCAGAACAAAGGCAGAATAACAATTCCAGAAAAAGCTGGAGGAAAATGTCATCAAACAAATAAAACTATTGACCTTCATGCCCTTTGATCTGTAGAGAACTGAATGGTAATTCTGGTAAGTGTTCCTGCAATTTTCTTATGGGACCCAAACCCTTGAATGATTGAGGACTTGGAAAAAGAGGTACTGTAAGTGAAGTGAAGTTAGCCAATGATTCATTCAGTTAAGTCAATGGAAGATTAAGTTGCAATGAAAACCAAAAAAATATAAACATGTGGCTCTCCAGGACCAGAAGAAAGAGTGATCTACATTATTATTATTCCTGCTGTAGGTCAAACACAAGTTTATGCATATCTTATTTCACCTACAGAGCATGTGATTTCTTGTATGTATAGTGCCATGCACAATATTTACCCCCTTCAAATGACATTCACCTTTTGTTGAATCATACATGTTTTATTCATACAATTCGTTGTATGTTTTATTGTTTGAATACTCAAACCAAACATTGATACACAGTCATACATATTAATGCATGTATGAACATAAGTGAAGTTAAATGTAATTAAATTAATAAAAAAAACTGCAAAGAAAAAAACACATATTAAAATATGTTTATTGCATAAGTATTGAATTCCCAGAGTAATAATTTGGAAGATGCATCTTTGGCAGCAGTTACATTATTGGTAACTTTGCATACCAGGATGGTGTGATTCCTGTCCATTCATCTTTGTAAATGTGCTCAAGCTCTATCAAATTGGTTGGGGTTTGCTGTTGGGTAGCAATTTTCACATCTTGTCATTGATTTTCTATCTGATTCACTTCAGATAGAATTAGTTTGCACTTCTCAATTCTGATAAGCTGCTCAGTTCCTGCTGATAAGAAGCCCAACTGTAACATAATCTTGCCCACCACCATGCTTGACAGTAGGGATTGTGTTAACTGGGGGATGTGATGAGCTGAGTTTGAACCAGACATTACACTTCTTCACAAAAAGTTCAAATTCTGTCTCATATGTTCTCAAAACGTTGTGCTTGTAGTTGTTTGCAGTATCACTTAAATAATTTATTCAAAATGTTATGTGGGGTTTGTTACTCAGTCATAAAGGCTTGTTGTGTGGAAGAACTAAGTTATTGCTGACTCAGTATCATGGTCATCATCCCGCCTGTAGAGGGTGCTCCTACCTTTTTTGGTATTGATTTTAGTTTAAGTACTCCCAGCTGTGTCTAGTCCCTTTTGCGTTATATAAACCCGGCCAAACTTACTGGCTCAGATTTGGAAGATGGACGTCCAAAAGCCAACCTAGCACCAAGCTTGGAGATAGCCTGAGGGTATAGGCTTTCATCCAGATGTCCTGACCTCTGAGCCCGGGACTCAGAGCGCCTTGTCCCATTATGGTTTTATCTTCCATGCTCCTGGTCTTTTTTTCCCATTCCCTGGATTTTAATTGTCTTTGTCTTGGATGGATCTCCCGGTTCTTGGAATTTGGACTGTGCCCTGACTACCCCTTTTGGAACTGCCTGGACTTGGTCAACTTTGCGTTTCCTCCCATGCACCCTATCACTACTGTCAATGCCCACTGTCTGTCAACCCAAATAAACCCTGCTGTGTTTTCCCCTGATATCCGTCTCCAGTCTCTTCCAGATTATACCGTTATGCATAGGGTCTTAATTGCATACTCCACAGGAGACTGTCCCAGCTCCCATGACACTCGGATGTTTCTCCAGTCTTATGTTTTAACTCTTTCAAAGTTGTCTTAGACTGCTCAGTTTAGAAGGAAAACCTCATGTAGAAAATGTCTTGGTGGTATGAGATATGTTCCATCTTTTAATGATAACTTTGCTGTGCTTTAAAGGCTATTCAGTGACGTTCAATTTTTGTATACTGTACCTTTCTCCTGATCAGTGCTTTTCATCCACTTTATCCCTTAGTTGTCTTTAAAGCTCCTTGGTCTTCGTGGTTGAATCATTCATTTATATTTAATACCTAGCAGTGCAACTTTATAGAGATTGGTGTATTTGTTCTGAACTAATATTATTGAACATGAACAGAGGCTATTCAAATGTGACCTGTCCAAGCAATTGTATGCACCTAAACAGCAACATTTTTCCACCAAGTAAAATATGGTGATTGAACAAACTACTGAATGTCTCACTGCATCAGTTAATTATCAGTTAATGAAATTTGTTATTGTGAATAAATTCAATTATTGTAAAATCAACAAACATGCAAATACAGAAAAAAAATAATTTGAGAGGAAATATGTCTTTTTTGATATTGAATGAATGAAGAAAAGATTTTTAGCAATGCAAATATAAACCTCAAAATGCTTACACACTCAAAAAAAATAAGGATTCAGCCAATTCAGCACATTTTCTGAAAATCCCTTATAGGCTGTTTGGAAGATCTTGGAAATAACTTAGAGGCTTCCAGACATAACATACTATTAACATGAGCTTATAAACCACATACCGACACACTAACAAAGCAGAACTTAAGGAATTGTAGTTTGTATATCATATAATGTTTTTTGCATTTAAGTTTTATGTAGTTTGTTTCCTGAACATGTCAAGATCAAAACCTAAATTTTAGCCAAAAAATGTAAAATAATATCAAAACAATTGCTTTGTATAATATTTTAATAATATCTGAAATACTCAAAGCAATATAAATAAAACAATATAATCATATAATTATATTACCAAAATGCCTTAACTCCTACTTATCAAATTTGTAAAGGACCACTAAAAAATTCCAATAGCAAGTGAATTGTACTGTAGTTCAGTTAATTCTGCTATGGACCACAGCAACCTGGAATCAGCCCAGGAATGAGGAGGTGTAAAGCAGAACTACAACCTCACAGGACACCAATCCATCATGTGATGCACTCACAAGTGCACATACTAGGACAATTAGCAGATATACCTGTACATTAATCCAACAAGCATGTCTTTGGGAGGTGAGTGACAGCAAACGGACACAACATATGCAAACTCAAAATTTAAAAGTGAAAACCAATAACAACATTCTATTATCGCATGTAGGAGTCTATTTCTCAGAGGAGTCTCAACAAGTCTACATTTAAATAAAATTGTTTGGTCAGAGGCACGTTTAAGAACAATCTAAGCCCTGAAGGAAGGACTCTTAGCAAGAAGTGATTCCATCCTGAGCTCAACGTTCCAGGAGATCCCATCTTTGTGGATTGATAGTTATGGAGGTTTATCACATCTCTCACAATAGATTGTTTCCATTTGTATCCACACTGGAACCATGGAAGTAGTGGAAAGACTAATGAACCAGAAATATTAGATGAATCATGTTCTGCGTTACACTTTGAGATGACAGATATTCCTGAATTCATAATCAGGTTTCCGGAAGTTGCAATTGCAAAAGAAAGCCTGTGAGTACAAGCTTTAAAACATAACTTACAGTATGTATGCAACACAACAGAAGATGATCATGAACATAAACTTTGTGAACATCCTTGTTTCACTTTTCCCCAAAATAGTACAACAAGAAACATTTTTTCCACCCCACACAACAACCCCTCACACACCCCCCACCCCCTCATTGACATTCAACTCCAAGTTTCTATGTAAGGCCCATTAAATGTGGTCAGTCAGGACTCCAAACTTCCACTCTAGCCCTTCACCCTCCCTCCTGGCAGCATGGACCCAAGTGGTTACAAACGTCATTATTAATAATATGAACACAGTGGTGCTAGAAGAGTGAATGCCAAAGCTAACACAACGATAATAACAGCTATTTAGCTCAAATCAGAAAAGCCATACATGTTGGTTTTTCTTACTGCAAGAGACTCAGATTTCAGTCAATGTTTAGAAAGGCCAGAACACTCAACAAAATCAGATGTCCACAGAGCCCTGTGCACAGAATATAGACATTGACCTACAAACTAACTTCAAAGACACCATTTATGAGATCTCAGATGCACTTTGCAAAGGAAATGTAAGTAAAAAATTCAATGGCTAGGATTTTTAAATTTGAATTTGTATTATTCCTACTATTGTGCCAGGAAATGGCTTTATTCATGGCATTTGCGTTTCTCTGCAATACACATCTACTGAGGGTTTATATGAAAACCTGCAATAAATAGATATACAGGAGGCCAATCCCTAGATTTTGTTACCCCTAAGGTGAAATGGCAAAATGGGTTATGCATTGTGTGTATAGAATGAAGAAGTACAAAACTAAAGAGGATCCTTGAAGCTCAGATTGTGAATGTCTGTCCTGCATTAGGGGGAACAAGTGAAGATCATCCTCAATGAAAACTAATTCAATAGGTATTCCTGCTCCAATGTGAAAAAGAGAAAGGAGAATAGCATGTAAGAAGTTTCTGATTATTAAAAATTAAACAAAATGGAGCACTGAGGACCTAAATCCAGTTTAACACAGGAGGGATTCCATGCCAAGAATTTTACACTTTGGATTGTCCTTTTCTGCTTCCTTTAGCTCAGACATGGATATTAAGAATAC